ACATCCAAATGATGCTGAGGTAAACATCTCCACACGCGATTCGGATCTCTCAAAAATATAGGTTTTACTTCTTCCTTTGAAGAAAGTAAAACAAAATTTCTTTTCCTTCGGACACTATTCATGACTTAATTTCAACATTTGTGGGCTGTGATATTTCCTAAGCTTTGATACATGTACTATTTAAAAATTTTGTTTACTTAAATTATTCTTTTTATTTATTTTGTAATTAGCTTCTGAAATTTTTTGAAGAATTTTATGCGGTCCACTAAAAGGAGGTGACAACTTACTTGTATTAGGATAAGTTAATTCTTCAAACATAACTAATTTATCAGTTTTAAAATCTATATCTAAAAATCTAGCATCATAATAAATTTTGTTTCTTTCATGATATTCTTCAGTTCCTTGAACTGCTATTTTTTTTAGCTTCCTCAACAGGTGGATAGATTTCTTCCTTTAAGGGATTTTCATAGGGGAGTCTACCATGCATGAGGTATGCAGGTGGAAANTCTTCAGTTCTTTGAACTGCTATTTTTTTAGCTTCCTCAACAGGTGGATAGATTTCTTCCTTTAAGGGATTTTCATAGGGGAGTCTACCATGCATGAGGTATGCAGTTGGAAATTTTGTTACAGAATGGGGAGTTAAGTTATGAGTATTAGCTATATCTTTAAACAAAGTAGGCCAGGGAGTTTTAGTAGGTTTTTCATTAATTTTACATTTTGAACGCGTAATTATTGTTTGACCAAGGCGTTCAACCTTGCCATTACACTGCGGATGATGTGCAGTTGTCAATAATTGTTGAATTTTATTACGTTTCAAAAATTTTTTAAAATGAGAAGAAGTAAAGGCAGCGTTTCTATCACTCAACAAAGATTTAGGAATTTGATTTTGAGAAATTTGATGTAAAAAATTTGTATAAGTTTCTGAGCTAATGGATATTGATGCAAAAGCCCGAATGTATCTTGTGAGGTGGTCAATAATTAAAGTTAAATACTTTTTAGTTGAATTATAGTATTCCTAAGAACGAATAAATTAACATTCTTTCCGACAACGACAGCTATGGAAGTGACAACCGGTTCTGTTTCGAATTCACGAAGTAGTTTTTGTTTTAAAATTTTCTTTTTAACTCAGTACACATAACAATTCTCATTTCCGATTATGACTTTAAAAGATAGAATTGAAAGAACTAAAATCTACAATCTGAAAAATTTCGTATCAAATTATGGTATAAATTACCAGCACTTTGGGTGCCTTCTCCGTAAAATCCATTCTTAAAACCCATCCCACTAAAATCTACAATCTGAAAAATTTCGTATCAAATTATGGTATAAATTACCAGCACTTTGGGTGCCTTCTCCGTAAAATCCATTTTTACCGTAAAATATTGTACCGTAAATTCCACAGTAATATTTATTTAATTAGAGAGATTCAGTGATATTTATGGTATTTAATATTATAAAAATTATGGTCTATTAGATTTTTTTTCTCGTAAAAATGGATTTTACGATAAAAAGTACCGGCAACCTGAGTTCCGGTATTTTTTTTTTTTTTTTTGTAATTTGATCCTGAATTTTTTGCAGTGTATAATGGGTAGAGAAAAAAACGGACCACCCTGAATAACTTTTAATTTAATAAACGGATGTTCACGTTCTAGGACTCAATCTTAATAGTTATAGGGGGTGACCTCAAATATGTTAATTAATTCGTGCAGACGAAATAATTAGTTTAGCTCTTGCGAAATTAAGTTTCAAAGAAGTCTTGTATTTAAAATTCAATTTCTCAGGAACTATTCGACCAATTTTTCTCAAATTTCGTATTTTCCCACGTGAAATTGCATACTCTAAAATTATTCAACATTTTGAATACCTTACAATTCTAAATTATTTCGACTATTATTAAATAAGATAATATGCTCTAAAAGTTATTTTTTTTTTAAATGGAATTATCTCTGACTACAAGAATTTTATAACTGTGTGCCAAAATGCTTCAATTCACTTAAAAAGTTCTCGAGATATGACGAAATAGGCAAAAAGTAAAATTAATATTAGGGTTCAAAATTTTGGATCATTCTTCTGATCAAACTAGGGGAACCATATTTATTTTTAATTTTTATTTATTTTTTTATTTGAGCACTACACATTTAACTCAATTCAACAAAATCTAAAGACATACAGAAATAAACATTGGACGAGTTCTTAACAAGGAGGAAGTCCGAATTACTTCGAGAGTAAAATAATGTCCGACTTTTTGAAATATCCAGTTCATAGTTTCTTCACGACATCCTATTTCTTTATTTGGAGAAAGTTATATTTAACAATTGTGTGAGGGAAAACAGTACTGTACAGATAACTTCATAATAATATCTGATTAATCATTTTCAGAAACTGAAAGTCCATTTCCTTAGCACCTGATTCGACCAACCTGCCGAAATTTCGCAAATCAAATGCTAATTTCAAATAGCATATTAGCATATTTTATATGAATTTTTATTTAATAATAAGTAAATCTATACTGCTGATAATTTATGTGACAAATAAAAGTTTCTTATTAGAATATTTTACTTAATTCTACATCCTTCGTTTACGTACAAAGGAAGAAATTAATCTATTCTCTGACTTTGCGGAAATAATTTTCATTCAAAATAGGTTTTATGTTAATATTAATAATCTTAGGTAAGTAATCTTTGCGCAATGAAGCAACTAAAGATTTTTATCAAAAGTACAACCAATAAATGATAAAATTCAACTTTTTCTTTCATCACATCCTTATATAAATCTTTAAAGAGTGAACGATTTGTTTTCTGACTTGATGCTATTACAGAAAAGAAAAAAGTATGATTTTGTGTACGAAGAACAGTAATTAATTATAATATTTTTTAGCTATAAAGTATGTAATATGAAGGGTTATCTTAAAATGAAAATGTCTCCCGGTTTATCTATAGGGACCATATAGCGACTAGCCCTATAATTTAAGAGTAAATAATCCAAATCCATAAAGAAAAAGGCAAAAAATTCAGACAAAAAGCGTTTTTGTGTACTAAAAGGTAATTTACATTATCATTTGCAAGAATTAATTACTATATTTAGGGTGTCTCCACAGATTTTTCGGATCTCACTATCTAAATCTTATCTATTGCGGCCATATTTTATGACAGCGGTTAGTCACATAATTTGAGATTAAATAATCCAAATCCATCAAGCAAAAAAGTAAATTCAGACAAAGTTCGTTTTTGCGTTTTAGTTGGTAATTTAAATTATCATTTGCCAAAAATTAATTATAAGATTTCGAGTGTCTCCGTCTAGTTTTAGGATTTAACGTTTTAATTAGTCTGATTTTCACGCACTAATAAGTGTCATTCAAAGTTCAAAATACTTCTAAGATTCAACTTCAAACACGCTAATTAATTATTGCGAAGGTAAGAATATTAGACATAAAAATGTAATTTCTCTAAATAAACTCACCTTTTTTTCGAGGGATTTGGTAGTTTCCTTCAAAATAGTTTAAAATAATTTTTAAAAAATTTATACCGCACAATTTACATTTTTGGCTATTATTAAATGAAATAATAATAAATAATTATGTAAACGAGCTTATCCAAAGATTTTTTCTTTGTTATAAGATATTAATAATAACTTTTTACCAACCAAATAATATAAATATTCAGTTTAATGTTTCAGTTTAATGTTCAGTTTAATGTTATTAATGTTTCAGCCACGCTGCATTTTTCGTAATTAACAAAATAAAAAAAGAACTTTCTTTTTTTCTTTTTTACGTGAAAATGCTCAAATGAGTAAAAAATGGATAACAAAAATTAAGTATGTCATCACATTTTTAGTAGAGTTTATCAGGAAGTTTTATATTATACATGACGTGGCACATTTATAAATGAATTTATTCGTGAGTATTCTTAAAATATGTTTTTTTTTTGGGGGGGGGGGGTAGGGTTAAGATTTTCAGTTTAAATGTCCTTCTTAAAAACGAAACTCTTTTTAAACTAACCTTACAATTACATTCGATACTTTTACTCATATTTTTTCCACACTATAAAAACTTAGGTGTGTCAACATTTTTATAATTTTATTCAATTTAGAATTTCAACCGGGCAGTTAAGATTTAGAATTTTCTTAAATGAAAAGATTTAATTTACCTTAACAGAAATGAGAAGTTCTGAAAACTTCTGACTTTCTGTGTTCTGAAGAACTGTTTTTCCCCCTCATAAATTAAATATCAAATTTAAAATAAAAATAAGAAAACGATTTTGCTTCGATAGCCAGAAACTTGCAGACAAGTATAACCCGGGAAGTTCGGGTTGGAGTGATCCCGTAACATGGGTATTTGGTACTTCCTGAAGACCTAATCAACAATTCCCTACCCTGTTCGAAAAGCAACCATTTCAATTTACCAAGCATATTTACTTCACATTTGCTTTTTCTAGCAGTTGCATTTACTAAGACCCCAGGCACAGAGGAACAGTGGACTATACCCGAGTAGATTTTTAAAACAGGCGATAAAATTAACCCTTTAATAAAAGCTTTCTTCTTTTGTTTCGAGGACAAATGGTTCATTTTACCTTTGGTGAACACTTAAAAATAACAAAACTAACCCCCTTAATTGTAAATAAATAAACAAAAAGAAAAAAAAATTATAATTTAAAAATGACTCTAATAATTTTTCAATTAGTTTTGATAAAAATGTGAACAGTTTTGGATCTTTCCAGAATCTCCTTCATCTACGCACGTGACCATAAGTTCCTTTTTTACATTTTATAATTAATCTTAATTTGCAAATTAATACCCGGATAATTGTTAACATGCATTATTCTTCCAATAAATGCATTCTTCCCAATAAACTCACAACATTCACCAGTTCATACAATCGAGAAAATTTTCATGTTTATGATGTACGATAAAGTTTGTTTAAAATTAAAAGCTGAGAAAGACTATTTGTATGAATGAAATACCACGTCTTGCATAAGATTAACACCTTACAAACATCCCTACAGGTTTTCCCTTTTCCCCTATTTCTAAGACGGCGAGTATTTCCAAACGTCTTTCGCCTTCTATTGTTGAAAAGCAGGTCTAATGGTATGTTAGAGTAGGTTGCATCTGCACACGTTGGCTGAAAAATTTTGTGCACTGAAATGTAAGTCTTTTGTAGTTTTTAACGCCTACTATGTTTCGTAGTTTTGACATTTATTATATTTTGTTGTTTTATTAGAGAAAGAATGATTTATACTGTTTCAGTAACTTTTAAAGAATAATATTTACCGGAGTTATGTTCTGTTATTTGTAAACAATGCTAAAAATGTAAATAAAATCAGGGTTACATTGATTTCTCTCTAGAAAAAAGAAGCAAACGTAAATACTATCAAACGTAATGGATAATATATGCTTGATAAATGCAAGGAAGACTCTAAATTAATTTAGATATTCATTGAAAAAGACGTGTTTCAAGGAAAATAGTCATTTTATTGATCGTTGTCTAGAAAATTAGCATTTTACGCAATATTTGCAATCAGTTCCTTATTAATTTTTGAAGAATGTTGATCGAGTGCCATAAATATTTTTTAATGATAATAATCGTTAATTATAAATGCTTTTTTAAGGTAAAATGGTTAAAAAAAACAGTAAAAATTCTAATAATTTGTTAATGGTATATTATTTTCATGATCCATTGTGTAAGAATCATTCCTTGTTCTGAAATGTAAAAGTTCAAAATCTCGTAAAACCTTTATAACCATTCTAAAATACGTTTGAATATTTAAATCATTAGAATTATACAGGATTGCCCACTCCCAATAATCTAGGGTTCTGCCCCGTCCCCCAATAAAAGATTCAAATAGATCCGCCACTTCTGCCAACAACAAAAATACTCGACGCTATTCTTAATTGCCTCAGGGCCCGGTTAAAATTCTCTACTAAAAGTATATTGTTTTATACATTTTTTTTTAATTAATAGAATTTCTTTAAAATAAAATTAATAACGATATGAATCAATAGAACACTACATTTAATTTTCATCTGAAATAAGCTTTAAATAATAGTTAAAAATATAATATTTGAATATGTTTTTGAATATAAAAATGAAACAAAATATGAAAATAAGTTTTGTGTGTATGTATATTTCGCTTAAGAGGTTCTTGAAACATTTTTGTCACGAGGCCCATGAAACCAGTCTCCAGGCTTGAAAATACTTATGAAATACTTAATTATTATTTCTGAACATAATGAAAATCTATTAATTATTTTATTGATAGCATTATTATTATTTTTTTTATGTTTTGTTTTTCAGAAGGCAAATTTAACATTATGAAGAAAAATTGTCAGAACTGGCATAGTACTTTTTCTCATAACTATACATAGCACTTTTTCTCATAACTAGACGTGATGTACAATTTATTTAGGAAGTTGAGGTATTAGTTAGTAATTACGTGTCAATTGTGTTATAAATTTTTATTTAAATTGGGACTTAGTCAATTTTATTATAAACTTTGATCTAAAGGTAATTAAATAGCATTGTTCACATTATTATAACAACCTCTCTTGGAACACAACAACTAATTTTTAAAAACTATTTCCCAAGTTCAAATAAGCCACTGTTTAATAATCTCTCTCTCTCTCTCTCTCTCTCTCTCTCTCTCTCCTTTTTTTACAATATGAAATTGTGAATTTGTATTCATTGAAAGTAAAATAAAAATGTCCGAAACTTTAATAGAAAAATGCCATTGTAAGGCTGTAAATTAATAAAATATATAAAAAATTTGGGTGGAAAAATATCCCCCATTAAAAAAAAATTTTTATACAAATATCTCCCCAATATTAATACGTTTCTCGGAGTACTAATTTACTACTAAAACTACTTTCTAGTTTCTAAACTTCAAAAAAGAATATAAATCTTTTAAAAAAAAAGTGCCTTTACCCTAAAATCGCTACGGAGACTATGGAATCGATATGGACCAAGCTAAAAGGGGGAAAAAAGGTGATGGGGTGTATGAAAATTTGGCAGTCCCAAAATTTTTAACGCATTCATGCGAGCCGTGGTGGCTCAGGGGGTAGAGCGTTCACCTCCCAATGCGGTGAACCCGTTTCGAATCCCAGCAATGGCTGGTTGATACGATTTCCGCATCCGGCTCACACCGACCACAATGCTGACGTAAAATATCCCCAGTGATGAACGGATCATAGGTTAGAGTCCCCCTCCAGTCAGACTAACAGTGGGAGGTTTTCGTGATTTTCCTCTCCATGTAACGCACATGCTGGTTATTTCCATCAAAAAGTCTTCCGCGAAGGCAAATTTATCCCAATAATTGATCCAGGAGTTCCTTTGTGTTCTGGATAGGGTTCAAAATTACAAGACTACGGAGTTGAACATTGGTAGTCTCAAACAAAAATTGGGTCTGTTGTTTAACGTCGGTAATAAAATTAAATAAAATATATTCATGCGGCTCCCAAACGACAAGGTGAAATATGTTTTTATCACTTTATGTCACCTTTGTAAAAGAGATAGTGCCATTTTTGTGTTTTTAACATTAGGTCTGCCACTTATCCGGAAAAGATAAGAAACTGGTAATTAGAACATATTTTAATCTTTCCTTCAGGAAAAATGTACTCACCAAAACTGCTACTACTTATTAATAAGTAAAATATATATTAGAATTTCGCCTTTGCTTCAGTAGTTACTGTGTTGTAATAGTCACAAAAAGTTTACCTTTGCCGAAAGAAAGGAAAGGTTAAAATGCTCTTATTACCAGTTTTTAATCTTTTCCATGAGAACTCGCGCAACTAAAATTTACAGCGATGACAACTACGACAGCATGAACCTTTTTTTTTTACTATCGAAGGATTAATTTTTTAATATAATGTTTTGATAAAAACAAATATATGCTGGACATAGTTTTTACGACTATGACTAACAGATGCGCTACTTATAAAAAGAGGGAAAAACGCGCGCTAATGGCAAATTTGATAGCCGTTCTTTTATGAAAAGGCCCTATTAATTAAACGGAAAATTTTTTAAAATTATGCGGGCTGGTTATAAAACAACTAAAATGGCGGAGTCCTTGCATATGACTTTGCAGCATTTTTTTTTAAAACCGTAACCGTTTTACTGTTATAAATTTTTAAAAACCGTCTTTCTAATTTAGGATTCCTTATAATCTGAAATCATTTCAGTACAACAGTAAATTTTTAAGACAAATTTCAAAGGTATGTAATAAGTTTCGTTACAAAGCTTTTGAGCAATAGTTTTTTGATCTATGAAACCTAAAGGTTATAAACAATATCCTATTTATGTCAACGAGTCAAACAGTAAATACCAAAAATATATAGTCCATTTATTGTAAGAAGACGATTGAACAGTGACGTCACTGGGCTGAAAAATCGTCATTGGGCCGAAGCCATGACTGGAGAACTGTATAAAGCTAAGCATGGGTAGCGCAAGGAATTAAAATTCATCATAAGACTTACGGGTTACTATTTACAATTTGAAAAAGCTCGCCATCCAATATTATTACACTTGGTAGTGTTTACCACCTAACACTTTCTTTCAATTTAATATTAGCTTAATCTATTTAATTTCTGAACTCCTCAAGCATGTTATGATACTACCCAAAAAATAACAAACGGCGACAACCAAATAAGGGATAACACACAAAACATGACAAATCTTTATTTATATCCTAATATTCATTTTCTTAATTTCGTTTAAGGCGCACGACCTCACAGAATTTACTATAAAATCTTATGAATGGTTAAATTATGCGTAAATTTAAATAACGCGATAATAAAGCTTCATGGAATATCAAGCTTGTCTCGCCTCGTAGACGTATCATAAGCGGACGAATATACCGAAAGTTTTAAAAGTTTCTTCCGGTTTTTAGAATCTTGTTATCGTTTGCTTTCAGTTCCGCGTACATACAGTTTCTTATACGCGTGTCTACATAACCTCAATTTTAACTAAAAAAAACTCATACCAGGATTTGGCATTCAATCGTCTAGGACCGGACTGGATTATTCACAGTTACTAATTAATTGTTCATTTACATGCATATTCATGAAATGCGAAAAGCAGCTAAAGCGGTATAAAAGAAACTATTTTAAAAAGATTGTGAAAGAGAAAAAGAGTTGCAAATTACTTGTGTTATATAAACTTCACGAGTAAATGGTTAAAAATAATAAAACCCCTATTTTCAATTTTAGAAATCTTTTTTTTAATCAAATATTCTCTTGAGAACTCATTAATTTATTTATATCAAATATTCTTTGCTTCTATTTAAATTATTATCTACAATAAGTAAGTAGCATTATCTATCCCACCAACCTTTAAGGCTGTATGCTAATAAGCGAAAATCCATTCATTGATAAAAAATATTTCATGTTTTCTCGCTCTCCGGGCATAAAATAACTTATAGGGAAGTAGGAAGAGTTGAAATCTCTGATTCAAAATAGGACTTGGCAAAATTATTATAAAAATAATAACCTTCTTTTGTTTGTGAGTTACATCAGTCAAGAGAAGCCATGACTGTTTTCAGATTTTTTCAAGCGAATGATTAGGTATTATTTTCATGGACCGTGTGGAATGACTTTTATAAAATAAAAACGTATTACTGTAAACAATATACTGTACTTGGCTAAAAAATAAATAATAAAATATCAGACTCATTTAAATTTATATCCTATCATTTTTTAAATTTTACTACTTCACCTGTCTTCAAATTTATTATTCTGTCATGCTGGCGAGGATATATTCACTTGAAAAAAAAAAACTAAAATTGTGCAATATATATATAGTATATATATAAGCATTTTTTTTTAATAAAACTGATTTAAATTTTTTTTCTTCCAGTTTTTTTTTCCTCCGTTGTGCTAAATTTCATTGCATATTTCTTATTTTTGATTTTTTTTTTTTTTTTTTTTTTTTTTTTTTTTTTTTTTTTCCATTTTGAACAATTTGTTAATTTTCTTTTATCTCTAAATAATTCCCATTACTTCTTTTTGTATTTTCTTTTCCAATTCAACTGAGTCAACTTTTAAAATCCATTATCTCTTTCAATCAATTTTTTTTTTAATTTTCCATCATTAATTTAATATTTGTCATTTTTTTTATATTGATATTGAATACAGTGAACTACACCAACTTATTAT